TGTGTGTGTGTGTGTGTGTGTGTGTGTGTGTGTGTGTGTGTGTGTGTGTGTGTGTGTGTGTGTGTGTGTGTGTGTGTGTGTGTGTGTGTGTGTGTGTGTGTGGATGTAATCTACAAACGAGAGATCCTTAGATGACAACGACATGCATTATTTATTATAAATTAAATTGTTCTTGGTAATGAATAAATTCCAAATTTTCTCGATTTATAGCAACGTACTTGTTCTCTATTTTATTATTCTTCAGATATTTTAAAGCATTACTTTGCATTCATCATTAAACAAAGTATTTCAATTAATAAAGACGAGAGTAATCGATATAAATAAAACGTGATATTAAACATTTATTTCATCATGGAGCCAAACTGAAATCTTTGGTCTTCATTTTTTTTTTCACTGCAGACTGAGTCTGTTTGGTTTACGGTCAATAAGTTGACCAGTTTATGTGTGTCTGCCATGACCTCCACCAATTTAAGTTTTACTATTAAACAAAATTTCTTTTATTCTGTTAGAATGTTGTCGATCAGTGAATGGTGTGAGCAATATCTGATAGGACTGAGAAATAGAAAAATATGGGAAGAGCTGGCTTTGACCTTTCACTTGACCTCAATATACTTATGAGAAATAATCAGAGAAAGGATAATTACGATTGGAAAAAGGCATATATGGTTGATTATTCATACTAATATTTCATCTTAAACTTCCTCACCTTCCGATGGATAAAAATGACAGCTCTAGAAATGGAATTTGCACTGAATTTCCTGCATATAGCGGGCTTCATTTCGTATTGGTAAAGGAAGCAAGATTTTTACGTGCTTTTTCACGTACATTACTCATATTTCGTAAACGAGAAAGCAGCTATCAAGAGATAACCTTCTCCTTATTCCCTGTTAGTTTTGGGTCGTAAGGTACAAATTTGAAAAGCGAATGTGCAAAGCCTGATTTCGCATTTCTTAATAAAATATTAGTTTGCTATATGATTACGAATAACTGAACTAATGAATTGCTCACAAACAAGAAATGATAATGGAAGGAATCGGTAGCACTTTGAACTAAATTGATACTAACTTCTTCCTAGTTACAGACAATGAATCCATTTTTACTGCACTCGGAGATTTGATAATTATTCCCAGGAGAAAAAAAAGGCTTTAATGCATTTTTCTAAGGTGCAAATGCTGGTGTTTAGATGATGATCTGCTGGTTCCGTAAAAAGTTGCATAAAGCAGGGTGGAACAAATCGAATTGTTGCCATCGTGCCATATATTATTCGGATATCTTTCAGAATAACACTTTATACTTTGTAAACTAAGGACGATGAAGTAATTTCTTCTCCTTTTAATATTCCGATATATATAGAAGAATTTCGATATAATTCAATTAATGGCTTAAACATTGATTTTCCGGATTCCACGTAATGTTCGAGTATCGTCCGCAGCAATTCAACAGACTGGTAGTGGTGTTTAGATGATGATCTGTTGGTTCCGTAAAAAGTTGCATAAAGCAGGGTGGAACAAATCGAATTGTTGCCATCGCTTTAACTGCCATCAGCGTACTTATCATCGATGCAATTATCGTTACCACTGCAATATAAAAATGTATACTGGCTTATTAAATTATGTTTAATAATCCATTAAACTGGCTTATTTGGTGAGCAAATTATTTGAATTATTGTTAACTCAATAAAATATCTTATTTACTTACCAAATTTTACACAGTTTATTGAAGTGACTCATTTACCATTAAAATCACGTGATCTGTAATAACATAACCTATTTCTTTGATTGTTTATTGCATTAATTTACGTGACTTACCATTCAAAAACACGTACCAACATAATACGTAACGTGGTGTTCTCTCACAAATCCTGCAAATAAATGACCGTTAGCAACTTTGCTCAGTAAATCCAATTTAAAAGACTGCAAACTTAAGGAATTTTGCATTTGTTTTGCAAAGATTACAATTTATAGATCACAAGTCCTTTACGTGTAACAAAACGCTTTTTGACGTAAGACGTGAATTTCGATCAATAATAATGTATTGATTCAAGTACGAATGGTCTACGTTTAATCGCAGGGTTTTTTTGACAAAAACAAAATTAACGCATAGAAAATTCTTAATCGATGACATTCTTTCGTACTATATCGATATGATGCCTTAGCATATGAACGAAAATTCGCCTCAAAAGCCAACGACTTGCTAGAAAAACTTAATTTAAACTGACTATTCGGCACAACTAACTCTTTTAATGTGGCCATTTGCCATTTCTTCGTTTTCTCATTGTAACGCTGGGATTTAAGAGAAAGACCAAATAAAGTTGGCAATATAACACAAGTAAATGGGATAGTTGTGCTCCCGAAGAAATCCATAATTGAGCCGAAATTCGGAATTGATAAGGCGACGAACAACATGAGTGCCACAAGTCCGGTACGAATGGCAACACGTTGCCAGCACATCTCTATGAAACCATTTTCAGAAAAGTTTGAAATTTTAGTTAAAAGTTTGTAGATGCGAAATAAAATTTTTTTCTAACTTAACCATCAAATCCTTCCAATGCTAACATGTGCTCCAGGCTTATCTTTTATCATATATCATTGTTGTTTTTGATTTAAATAATCAAGTTAAACTTCCTAATGTCTAAAGATGAAAATAAACGAACTGTGTGGAACATGGAAAATATTTTCAAATTGTTGATTGACCGGATTGATGGTGAGAATAATAGTGAGTAAGCAGTGGATTGCAACTGCTAAATTAGCCCCATGTCTTATCCAAGTTGTTTGAAGCGAATCAATTACTGATTCTCGCATGCTTTGACCATAGACAGCATAGGAATATGCGGCCAAGGGAATATACATTTTAGCGGTCCCTAAAGATAATACTGATATGATTAGCTTCTTTTAAATTTGCTTGATTCTATCTGATTCTGTTAGATCATTTTCTTACAAAATAAGATTAAAACAAATCTAATAAAATTCAGGTGCTGCATTTCCAATAAAATAACTGGATTTATTAAGCTATTTTGTCATCTGTAATAATCCCAATCTTTTTGAAGTAAGCGAGAAAACGTCTCATCCTCACATCAGATTCAGTTTTCCGAAATGATAGAAGTAGATAGAACTAACAAAAGAATCCAAGTAAGACAGATTTTGTGAAATCTTTTGGTTCACGCATATCATGCTGTATCGTTGGGAATACGTGATGACCGCTGTAGGCAAATACGAACGTGCCAAGACTGTAGAGGGACTGAAACGATGGTGATATATAGACGGCTGATGATTTGCATGAACTGTGATCTTGACTAACACCAGTCCAAATTAACGTAATTGCAACAATGGTACTGAAAAGCGATATGGCCAAAATAAACCTGAAATGAAATTTTTATTTATGGGTTAATTTTTGAAAAGCTTATCCATTTAATAATTGGGTATATATTTAACTCTCTTCACTACCGTAACGTATAATATTATTTGATCATGCATTTGGTATGTGGAATTTTGAACAATTCTTTTAAAGAAATAAATAAAAAAAAAGAAATTGCACTATGAAAATGAAGGAACTGAATGAAATCATTCAAGGTTTATCACACCAAATATTATTCAATTATACCTGACTGTATAAATGGTCATTCAAAGTATCACTGACAAATTCAGGTCTTTATTTCAATTTTATCTGTCATTTTCAGAGAGAAAGTTAAGGATAATCTTTATTCGTTCATTTTTATTTTATTTCATTTTCTTTATTTTTCTTGTTTCACTAAATGATTTCACTATAAGGTCACTTCAACAAACGATCTTTTCTGTGGATTATCGATACTGGGAGGGGATCTGTCCTGTTATATTTTCATCAGAAACGATCATTGTTTGTACAGCATTTACACTTGCTATCTGCACTTTTGTGTTGCAAATTAATTTATGAAATTCTAAGAAAAAAAGATGTAATTTTTGGAACAAACCAAAAATCAGCTGGTGACCGGAGAAAAGTAATTGGTAAGATTAGTACTGCAAGGATTATTAGCAAAAGGCAGAAATCTATTCTAATGCCGAAATACAGCAGAGTTTTGTGGAATATACTTGATGATAGGATAATATATACAGTAGTAACACCAAACAACGTCATATTAACACAAAAAGCTGTGAAATTCCTGAAATTTGAATTTCCAATTCTTGAAATATGCAAACATAGAAGATTTAAGTTGGCCAAACGCAAGATTTCAAATTTAGTCTAACTTCATTTACCGTAATTTGCAGATAGAGAGATAAATTCGTGATTGGAGTAAGATCGAGATTAACATGGAAATCAACAATGCTACACTTTATCTGATTCAAATCATTAGGATGTAGCGTAATTTATTTTAAAAACGTAATTTAAAAAACGACGTAGTATAACTTAACTCATTTTAGGTCCAAAACTGCGCATGCCAATTTCAGGATACGGTTGACGACAATGTGTCTTGTAGACAGGCCATCGTTCTCTCATTATAGCCCATGTCTGGGCTAAAAGATAAGCAGTTGTCGTGAAGAATATAGCGATTATTCCCATAAATAAACAGCCAAGAAGCATACCTGAATAAAAAAAAAAAAGATCATCTAACCGAATACGTTCATACATTCTATCTATCTAGTAACTAAATAAAATTCGCTGAATTTTAGATGTTAAAACAATATGATTCCATTATATGATTGAACGGAAGAGAAATAAAAAAAAAAGGAAGCAATTGTTTAAGAAACTTTGAGTATAATATTAATTATTCCATTACTTAATTTTCGTCACTTAATTCTATCGCTGTTTCATCTCGTTAGGATGAAAAATTTTAGCAAAAAAACCTGTTTCATGAAATGCAGCTGGCATAGCAACTACACCTCCTCCAACCAAATCCGAAACAATTATGACAGATGCGATCATCCAACTATAACCTCGTTCCGAAGTTATCGGTCCAGATACGGTATTAACATCTTTGGCTTCCATTTCAGTATCAGAAACATATGTGTTGGCAGCTTTTTGTGATAATTCACTACCAAAAGCAGTTTTAATATCTGCTTTCTTTCGTAGTACATTGCTAGAATCGCCTACTGATCTACTCATTTTCCACAGTTTTTATCTGAATGCTAGAATTGCGGTAATTTTAATTTTATCCAATTAAAATTTCTTCATTCTAAAAATTTCCATTTAAAAAAAAAGAAAAGTTTGATCATTAATTACTTCACTTATACTGTTCAACCATTTTTAGTAACTCAATAGATCTATGCAATGAAATAGATGATAAGACTTTGTGCAATCATTGAATTGTTCCTAATTAAACTTTGAGAAGATTAAAATTAAAATCACCCCATCATAATGGAGAACTTGGCTAACCGTAAATATTAGCTTGTCACACGGATTGCATGCAAGAGCTCCTCTTTTAGACATAGCAAGCAACATTTAAGCTAATGCTTAATTGGTGCAAACTGTAACCATATATTCATCAAAACATCATATGTTATTCGATGAACTACGTGCATAAACATTATCATGCATGCGGCAAGTTACTACTTGTTGGATTAAATGGCTTTGATAGGCGCAAGTGCATGCATGCTACCAGGCGATCATTATAAGGACAACACGAACGAATGACACAAAAATATTGAAGACCAGTTTTAAAAGAGCAGATCACATGACGATTAGAAGGGACAAAGTTCATTTGTTTGACTTAAAAAAAAAAAAAAGAATTTGGAAATAAAGAAAATCAAGAGTGATGCCTCATTAAGAAAGTATAGGATGGACAGGTGAGTTTATTACCGCCAATTATACAATTCCAATATGATGATGCGAAATGATGTAATTTCACACAAGGCATTGTTTGTCAATGTTACTAGACAAAGTCATCACTCTAATTTTTCCGAAAGTAGGATAGTTCACCAAAAAGATTACAGGACAGATAGATATTGTTTAATTTAATCTTTGGTCAAATTGTTGTTGTTGATGATCCGAATCATTCATATTTCTGACTAAAACTTACAGCTGTTGCTGAGAAACAAAAGGATATGAGAAAGGGACAGTTATTTTGACCTTAACCTCAATATACTCGTTAGAGATAATCAGAGAAAAGAATTAAAACTGGAATAAGGTTCAGGCTAACGACTAGAAGAGGATGGAATCCGAAGTTCATTTGCGCGAAATGAAGAGGATTTAAAATGATGCTTTATCAGGAAAGTATAGAATGGATAGGTATCAAGTTCATTTTTTTCTTTTTGACAAGTAATGTTTCTTGAAAGTTTTGTAACCGTTTAGTGGATATCAAAAGTGACAGTTTCAAAAATGAAATTCATATTGAATTCCTTGCATACATTTTTTTTTACTTTCACCCGGTTGATAAAATGAGAAGGAAGTTCACATGTCAAACATCATAGATCAAATTATTGACACTTTCCGAAATTGTCCGTAAACATTTAGCATCATCTCTTGACCCTTCCTCTCATCCCTTCACAATAATATCCTTATCAATTAAATTTGCAAATTACATCCTTTGCATGCAACTTTTGAACTTATTCCTCTCTCTTCTTTTTCCTTTCTCTCTGTCTCTTTTCTTTTTCTCTCTCTCTTTGAACTTCTCATATGGGTTATGATGTCCTCTTGAAGATGAACCTAAATGGCAATTAATAGCGATGATACGGAAGATTTCCACCTGTACGTTGAAACATTTACTGAATCACGGCTTCTGAAGTTAAAAATTTGCAGGTGCTGCTTTTCTCTTTTGGTCATTAATTATCACTGGTAATTAGTATTTTACGAACTGAATCGAGCTTGCTGTAATTCTTAGAACCTTTTTGTTTTCTGAAGATAAGCGAATCGTTTATTCTACAATAATCGATCTATTCCACTTACAAGAACTTGATAATTCTTCAATATTCGTATCTAAGTATAAACAAACTGTTTCATACAACTATACAATTTTTTGTCATCAAACACGAAATGATATCTCTGATTTATTAGCAATAATTCTTGAAAATGACAACGAATGGGTTATTGAATCAGTTCAGATACGCGTATCATCCAGTTATCATTGTGATTAATTTTGGAAGATAATAGAAAATTGACTTGATAAGGATTAAATGGAGTTCTGCCCGAGATGAATTAGATAAATGTTAATTTAGATAATTTGGTAGAAATTTATTCCAATAATGTTAGCATGTATAATTCTGCAACATCAGACACCAATTTTAAACAATTTTTAAAAGTACTTTCGAATCTTTTATGTTCAATAAGAAATGAAAGTACGCCTTCTATTTTCAAATATACAAAAATGTACAATTGGAAATTCAATGAAAAATTTAATGTTAAATTTCAATTTGAAGTTTAACAAATTCCTTACAGCTCTGCGAAAACATTTCACTGTATAATTTTTTAAATTATGTTTTTGTCAATGTAAATTTTTGAAAAAAATTTGACTTTTCCTTTTAATCCAAACAGTTGACTTTAGCATATCGATTTTTGTCTAATTTCAAGAATTCTTTTAGATAGTTTCCTTAAGTTTTCAACTATCATAAAGAGTTCAATGAATACCATACAAATGATTATAATAACAATGGGAAGAATTAGAAATTTGTACCGTTTAGTTAACTGATTAACATTTTAAGGAACCTGAAAAACCAAAAATATTCTAGCAATTTGATAAATTAGGATGCAATTAAGAAACGACTAAAATTTGGAAAACTGGTTCCACCTATTTTTCAATATGAAATGTTTGCAATGTTCAACAATGTTTTTTTTCTTGAAACTTTATTTAATGACGAATATTGCAATGCATCATTTAACTCAAATTATTGATGAATAATTTAACTGAATCAGAAAAAAATTGCATAAAATGGATGTGAGATAGGCTTAAATTACTTCAATGAAATACAAATGATTGAATTATGCACACCTATCCCTCATACCATAGGTTGGTTGTCGTTGTTTGTTCTTGTAATGTTGTCCTAACAAAAGTTTTTGTTTACAGCAATAGAAAAGAGAAAGAAAGTAGGAAACTCTGGAAAGTGTAATTAATTGAGAAGTCAAGTAAAGGTAAAAAATTATAGAAGAGAGTGTAGAATTGGAAATTCAAAGAAAATGGAATGAATGAAAAAGGATAGTATGAATTTGTTTGGTCTCTTTGATAAAATGCTGTTGACACACGTTCGTTGAAAGTAGAGATGGTAACATTACATGGAAATACATTACTCATTCACTTTCAGTTTAATATTGATATTCCCTGAAAAGATTTAATTCTTGATGTGAATTAGTTTGATACGGTACTAAACTATTAACAGCAATAAATAATTCACAATTGATAACTCATCAGAAATAATAGATGAGGAGTAGCAATGAAAATTTGACGAATATACAGTAAAAGAATAAGCTAATTAATCCATTAAGAAGAGAAAAAAAAATTACAAACATTTGATGACATTTGATGACAAGCATAAATTTCAGTACAATCTGAAATGCAAAACTATCATTAAAGCGTAATTTGTTCGGTGAGTTTATTAAATGAAATGAAATAATACTAATAACAATGTATCCCTTCATCTGATACTTTTACTCACATTTGAATAAAATTTTGCTCAAAAGGGAACACAAACATTTTTATGTGACATCAAAAGCAAATCAGTAGAATGAATAAATTGATGGATACTTTGATTACAGTCAACTTTCTCGGTGTCATTACAAAAAAGTAAGTTTAGCATCCATTAATCGTCCTTTCTTTTTTTTTTTGATGTTATCATTCTCATTTATCGCTAGCAATCTAATTAGACAATCAGTGGATGAACACAAAAAAAAAGAAAAAAACCCGATTTTGGTATAAACTAATTTCAAGATGGCAAAAAAGAGTTGTAATGATATTTTGACGAGGGATAAATTTTGCTGAAAAAGTCAGTCACTGATACTCTCATTGTAAAGTACCATTATCCAATCACTTAAACAAATGATAGAATTGGTGGGTATACTAAAACATATCAACTATTGAATTGATCTTCAGTAATACTCTTTCCTATTTATGGTGAAAACAAAAAGAAATGTACAATATTAGATAATAAAAAGAACAGAACAATAAATAGCGTAATTATTAGCAACAACTATTTTTAGCCAGGAAATTCAGGATGACTTAATTAATGGAGATTGATATTGAAAGTAAATATTTGCTCTTTTAATGATCAGATCATGGTCGTTTTTTGAGTAAATGAATTAAATAACATAATTTATAATCATTCACCTTTTGATTGAGATAAAAATATCATTCGTTTTTTTAATGATTAGCTCGTAAGTCAAAAGATTTTCCGACTTTATTATTTTTATTTCATACCTATTTATTGCTTATTTTTATTCAAGAAAAATTTAGTTCTTGTAAAGTAGTAAAATTAAGCAATCCATGCAAGGTTGAGTTACTATTTCAGGTAAATTTATTTCTACTTCAACTTCCTGAAACTTATTATCCACAAGTACAGTAAGTAGTATAAAATTATGTAAGTGATGACTCAATAGAGAAATCTCATGAAAAAATATACATATATAGTGTAGGATGAATGAATGCTTCTTCTGATACTTTCAATTATTTTAAGATGTATGAATGATTAAAACCTAAGATTTATACGACTTATTTACCAGAAATAGCGAACAAATATATTTAAGGAAACTCTCGATGTCCCCCTTTGATAATTCCTAAAATAGAAATAATTTGAAAAACTAAATACTTTCTAATTAATAGAAGTAATTTCGAATCACTGATCTTTCTCGAGAATTGTAGAATTCCAGAATGAATTGCATTCCCCTCATCTTTATAGAATTATTTGTCACAAATTCTTCACAATTCTTTCTGGTTATATTGCACAGAAGTTGAAAGAGACACCAAACATACGAAAGGTTTAGTTATATTTTCGTCCTCCTCAAAACATTAAAAATCTCCCACAAAAATCGGTTTATGATCGATAATTTTGGATAGAAGAGCAAGTTGACATTGTCACCTATTTCGAGATTGTCTAAATTATTCCCATTGTTCTCAGTCATATTGTGAATTGCATTATTTAAATTGACGAAATGTGTCAGTTTAATTAATTACAATACTTTTGTATACCTTTTATAGGAAAGATACCAGTCTTGCTATCTCTCTTTAACTTCCTACATGTGACTAAATTAAATTTGTCTCTTTATGAATACCAGTGAATTCTTACATTCCAAATCCCGCTTATGAATGAAATGCGGCATAACTGCGCGGTATTTTCATTGCAATGGCTAAGAGATGTCATTCATTAGACGGAGTTCGAAGTTTAAATAATGAATCACTGTTCAGATGAAAAGTGATGATTTAAATAAATGAATATGTACATTAGAGATGGCCGGTTAACGACTGATGAGCATAAGCTACCGGAAAAGACAACCGGATAACTCTATTCTCCACTTGTTTGCTCTTCATTCATCAATCAAATCATTCACTCTTCTTTTTATCAAACAGTCATTGAAAAATAGAATGAGTTTCACTTAGAAAATTTCGCTTAATCTTACTAATCGATCTTTGATCAAATGCAAAGGATAGGCTTATGGCTCAGATGGGAAGAAAATTTTATATAAACATTTAATGTTACCGTGGCTAGAGTTCACGAACAAAGATTTGGGAAGAGCTCTATCGAACTTACTGCCAGCAATACAAATATGAATGTATCCATCCAGACAGTGCACTGATTTTTTCAGGTAAGACAGAACATTCACAGACGGACCTCATTCTTTTACTTCAAAAGTTCATCTACCAGGGTCTGGTAAGCTAGGATGGTGATGGCAAAGTTCTCAGGATATAGGTTTAGTTAACCACAGGACTAAACGAGCTCCATCTGTCTCAGTTTGGAATGGGAATTATCCTCTTGCTAAGCCTATCTGGAATGGTCGACCTTATTGGAGACATATACCATCAACAGTATAGCTTGCAATTTCACAAGGACACGAAGCTTTTCTCCGGTAACATAGTGTATCCGTGGAGGAGGAACTTAAATATACTGCAACAGTAATTCGTTGAGTGTTAATCAATTGTCATTTAATTGATACTTGTAATGAAGAGTGAAATCGATGTCACACAACTGTTCGGTTGGAGTAAAGAGTGAATTATAACTACAATTCGATATGATATGTGCAACAGACGTAAACAAATTGCTAACTATGAGATTATTGTAAAAGTTTTGTCCAATAAATACATTTAAACATTGAAACTTAATGCGACAGACCAATTTGTCAATGACTGCTTGTTATGGATCATCTGGTGAGCAGTGATTGTATTGATGAACAATCCTGGTGACACTGAAAAACATCACTGGCAAATTGGAGTTCGATGGTAACAGATATGTGCAACATACGTAAATAATTAAAAGTAATAAAATTCTAGTTCATCAATTCATTGCAATATATCCATTAGTATAGCATTATGTTGCACAAATGACTTTTAATTAATCGCTAAAAATCTTGATTTAAATCTGAAATTTAAAATTTTCCACTTATATCCAATTGATATCCAATTTAATTTTCGATTTAAATGAAGACTCCTTGTTTATCTACAAAAACTTTGAAAAACACTTGTCAAGTGGTATTTTTTGGAATGTTTCTTGATGACAGTGACATTCAATGATAAAAGTGAAAAGATGTCACATGCTGTGACATTCAGAAGAGAAGAGGACTCTTCTTATTGGCGCAGTTCATTAAGAAGATCGCTGCATTTTTCAAACCATCTACATTCAGTGACAGAATAGCAAGCGACACTTAGGGAGATTCGTGGTAATTGGTTTTTTTTTTTTTCGTGGGATGTAATATCTCCTTAATCAGCAATTGGCCAGTATGAAACTGTATCACGCAATCTATACAATTCCTAATGAAATTATTTTGTGCCGTGGATGACGCGGTATTTTTGAGGTTGATAAGAATCTGCGCAACTACCATCTGTTTCTTCAACTGCAGATGGTATAATCATAATTTAGAAATGGCCGAGATGTTGCTCAAAATATGGAAAAAGGAGAAAGAAGAAAACTTCATCCCTTGTCCAGCAAAATGTTAGCAGTATCGATTATATGGAAAAGCACTGATTATCAAAGATATCAAACAGTTATTTAAATTAATTTGAATTATCAGAATTGAGAAATGCATAAAGTTTGATATCATTTTTTGAAGTAACTGCTAGTGACTGCTATTACTGCTATTTATATATTACCAATTTTCATATTTTGGGAAATGAGATAAGAAGTCTTAATATCATTTCTGAAGCACTTCTACTTCAAATGATACCATCAGTATTGTCTTTTTACAAAAGATACAGCTCTTCTCGATGAATATTAGTTGTAGAATATGAAGTTAAAGGTATAATAGAAGATTATTTAAGTGACAGAATAATATTCAACAGTCAAAAGAAAAGAAGAAAATTTACTGACAATATATTTATAATTTTAATAAAAAAATTATCCAAACAGAATTCATTTCCTTTTTTTTAAACTTTTTTTGTTAAAATTTGCATTTTTTGCACATATCAAATAGTTCATTTTCTATCGTTTAATTCAGTTCATATATATTAATCAGTATGTTGAATCATCTCAGAAATTTATCAATCTTAAGGTACAAAAATTAATGCTCAAATTTAACTAATGCTTATTCTCTTCAATCAACCATAGAACACAGATAGATGAATATTTCTAACCTCTGTCTTTTATTCAGAAATATTGATGTATTTCGTTTATATCGCTTATCATAGTTTCTTTTTCTTTATCTCTTTCATTAATAAAAAATAAATTTAAAAGATGGAGTAAAATGAGGATTCAAATTAACTCTGGAAATACTCTTTAAAATTGCTAACAGTATTGAAAGCCTTACAGAACCGTAGGAATAGTAATTAAGAAGGAAATGTTAAAAATAGAATGAGTAGAAAAATTGCCAAGTGAAGTCAAAAAGTTCACATCGAAATGCGCAAACAGTCCTCTCTACATACACTTTCATTCATATGTCATATATTCACAGAAATTATTTCATCTTCCTAGTTAGCCTCAACTCAAGCACTTGCACCTCACTAACCATGTCTTATTGTGCGAGAGAAACATTCGCGATGTCTGTCTGTCATATCCGAGTGATGCTTAGCGCAAAATGTCACAGAGACTATCCATTTATGAGATGCAACTTAGCTCTACTTCAAGCTCAGAACTAAGAGTGGCATTACCAAAGAGGAAGTTCAAAATTTAACAATCTTCAAAAAGTTATAGTAAGAGACAGCTTTCAGGTAAACCTTCAAACTAGACCTGAAAATCATCCCATCCATACATCCCTCTTCCTAAAGCATTTTGACAACACATTAAAATCACCATTCTACAGTTTTCCATGGAATCTTTAGGATTCTCCTGCAAGAGGAATGCAAAAGAAAATTGTATCTAAAACTTTCTCAAAATGTCACTTTTAAAGAAGCCTATTGTCAAGATCAGAATGCATTACGAATGATAAGGAAGTATCAGTATTACTCATAAATGAAATATTATTAATGATATTCATGGAATTGTTAGCACCAATTGCATTGCTTTCGTCTTTATTTTTTCCAGCATGAACAAATAATCTTGGAAGAGATTGTATTGGGAATACGTTGTAGACTGTTGAATATCACATCTGTGCACCGTACCTTTGGACATCAATGACAATAACAATGTCAGGAACAGATCAACCGCTATATATATACACATATTTAGTACCTTGGGGATTTACTTTGGGGATTCTTTTTTCTTAGCGAAGAAAAAAAATTAATAACAGATTGCTTCTATCTTTATTGATCAGCCAAAATCATTGCGTGTTACTCTTTTTCAATTTTTTCCAATAAAATTAAATTTTTCCAAGAATGATTTGTTAGTTTGTCTCATTAACAAACCTTTTTGCATATCCTTATTTGTGAAATGATCAGAGGTGCATCTTGTAATCACAATCATGGAACTTTCATTCTTACTTCATCAACATGAGTATGCTAATGAAATTTGAACATATAAAAGATATAGAGTGTCACATATCAACATCAGTACAAAAAACCAATGGTTAAAAACAAGTTGATAATAGAAAAGAAAATTGATGGAATGTTGATAAGATAAATGAAATGATTACTAATCAATGAATAGCATATACCTTCTACTTACTAAAAATAGAATCATTTTTTGGCAAAAATCATTCATTGAAATGCTCACATTATTCATCAATCAAAAATCAATTTTTTCTTCGCTCATAAATTCCTTCTAGCTATTTACAACCTTTGATTAGGGAAAATTTCTAAATTCCAGAGAAAAGAAAAGAAACATCCCTAAGGTATTGAATTATGGGATGTGATAAATGATGTGAGCATTTCAAAAATGTCCATATGAATGTTTTTACAGTCAAAATTTAAAATTATTAGTGTTATCGATTAATTAAAGTTGGAACTGAATGCATTAGCCTAAATTAGTTGTTTTTTTTCAAGAACTTTCTATGTTTTCTGTCTCTAATTTTTTATTAAAAGAGAAAAACAAAAAACTTTGTCTAAGTAGAAGGATGGACCATGAAGGAAAGAGGGGATGAGATTGAAGGATTCGAGTAACAACGTAAAATAGACAAAAGTACAAAAGCAAAGATTGAATGATAATTTATAATTGCTTGAATAATTACATATTCACAAAACTGTTCCAGAAGAGACGGTAGTTTTTCATTCTCTCAGCGCAATCGTCAACTTTGCACCGCGTAAGACGTTCAAGTTGCATTGTGTTACAATAGAGTCGTAACGGTAAAAGCAAGCGGTAAGATTTGAATTTTGAATGTGTTTGTTCGACTGAACAGTTGACGTTGCTCTGTCCGGTAACCGTATTCCAGACACTTGATTCATCTGCTATTTATTTTATTTATTTTCTTTCATCATGTCGAACTTCTTGAAAATATTTCGCTCGAAGAAAACAACGGAAAAAGATAACTTTAACACGGGACACGATGAGGTTCGTGCCATTCTGAATGACTCTTGACTTTTCTTTCATTTTATTAGTCATATCTAGGTGATAAGTTTTCTATATCATTCACAGAGTTGGGAGGACGAGTTAATAGCATTATCTCAAATAATGGACAACTTAATCACATTTCCTGAGATCTCAATCTAATATGTTAGTTATATATCGTTGAATACAGCTTTTCAATATTTCAAGTACACAGCAACTTCGAAATGAACATAGCTATGGTAGATCTGAGATGATTTCAGGAGAAGACGAAACATTGGAACAAAGAGAGTTATGGTAATGGATCATCGAGGCGTGATAAGCGAATTTCTCGGATACGAAGTATTGATGATTCGCTATTAAAACCCACCGCTGCGTACCATACAGTTACCCAACCGAGGCAATACAAAGCTTCACGATCATGTGTTGGCCGAGATGAATACGACAAATACGATAGATTCCGTCATTCAATCGATTTCCACAATAGAGTTTGTTTCTTAGCAAATTTATATGTATATCTCATGGCTAAGCTTCACGAACGAAGATTTGAGAAGATTTGCTGCTTACTGCTACCACGCTTGCTACAAAGCGTTTGCTACACTTGCTACCTTCTACTTTTCCAATCGTCGCAGTGGATTTTCTCGGTGATTCACAGCATTTGCGGGACTGGCCCTACCTTTTACTCCGAAGGTTTATCTGCCAGGACCTAGCGAGTTAGGATAATGAAGTTCTCGGGAAGTAGATTTTGTTAGAGTATCCTTCTATTAGATCGATGGTCCTACAAGGCTAAATGAGGCTCCATCTGCCTGAGTTTAGAGTAAAGTTGTTCTCCTAGGATGTTGGAAGGCTAGTAAGTCGATCCTGCATCCTGTCCGTGGGTACACATTATCTGATCCTTTAATTGAAACCTGTCTGGCATGGGAAACCTTACCGAAGCATATGATAGCGGTACAGCTCACGATCTCATTAGCATGCACAAGCTTCTCTCAGCAAAGGAATGTCCGTAGTGAATATACATATATATATATATATATATATATTGTTAATTACCATAAACATTGTAGGTTTAAGAAATAGTTAATTGATCCATAG